TTTAAAACAATTATAAAGCCAACTAAACAGCAGGCCACTATACACCATCACCGCTTACCTGCAGTTCTAACCAGCCTCAGCAGTGAGAAACATGCTCACGCTTTGGAGCGAACCATTCCCACCTCACCCTCCGATGCTATTTACCCAAGAGAGAAAATTGTGCTAACAACGTACATGCCTGGGACTGTTCACGGCTGTTTTGTTCGTTATAGCCAATGACTGAAAGCAACCCAAATCACCACCAGGAGAAGGGATACACAAATCATGATACATTAACCAAATGCAGTAGTTCTTTACTGGAAAGAAGAATTATTCCAAATGAATCTCATAAATAGGTTCACTAAAGAATTTAAACGATGTATACAAAGAGTCCACACTGTAAGGCTGACTGACCGACTGATTGATTGATTCAGTACTAGGAAGGGAAACTAATGTCTTCACACTGAGCTAGTTCAGTCCCTTTTATTTTTTATTTTAAGCCAAGTTCCCACTCAGTCACTGCATTGCCCAGGCTGGGCTCAAACTTATGATCCTCCTGCCTCAGCCTCCCAGAATGCTATGATTATTGGCATATGCCACCATGCCTGGCTTCTACAGTTTTGTTTTTATGAAATTAAATGGCAGAAATGACCACAGTGGATGCCAATCAATGGAGGAGGGATAAATTTACCTGAAAAGCATTGGGGGGAACTTTCTGGGGCGTGGAAATGTTCTGTATCTTGCTTGCTATGTTGGATATGCATGTGTCAGTCAAAGTTGTTTTAAATTGTGGCCTGTGATAGATCTCAGAGGCACAAGCACCTGCCTGGCAAGCACAAGGTCCTGACTTTGATTCCCAATACAAAAAAAAACCAAAATTGTTTACATTGTACCTAAACTTTAAAAAAAAAAAAAAACCTCCTCTAACACTCAGCACCCAATAGGCTCCTCAGTGGAAAGGGAGTACTGAGAGGGGCAGACAGAGATGAGAGGCAAAGGCACAGCTGGAAGGGGCATCCTTTCTGCACTGCCCTGGTTTCCTCAAGACCACTGAGCACTCCCAAGAGGAGGATTCACAGTGGAGCCAAAAGGCCTTGCGCTGATCACTTTGCATGACTATAATGAAATACCTGAGGTGACTGACTTACTAAGAGAAAAGATTTATTGTGGCTGTTACAGCTTCCCGGCGGGGACACACAGCCCCATTGCTTTGGGTGCAGTGTGGGCCCCCAGGACCTGCCTTCCGGCCACCATGAGGCCACCTCATGGTGGGAAAGTGTGACAAAACCCCAGTTTTGCAGCCAGGATGCAAAAAAGGAGGAAAAAAGATGCCCAAAGTCCCACCATCCCTGTGAGTCCAGGGCTTCCCATCAGGCCCTCTGGTCCTTTCAGGGACACCATTCAAACCACAGAAGGCAGCAAGGTGTCTTCTCCCCTGGCGGGTGCAGCATGGACAGCAGAAGCAATGCCTGGCGAGCAGGGTGAGAAGCGAGGGCTCCAGTGGGGACGAGGGCTCTTAGCTCAGGTTCACCTCTCCTCCCAGCGGGCCTTCTCCTCCCCTGGGGCACAGCTACATCTGACTGTGCCAGCTTCCCACCCAAATCCTGTCTCGCACCGAGCCTGTGCTGCACGGAGACCCTGCTCATCCCTCATCCTGTCCTTCCCGGGGCCCACACAGCTCAGGGTGCGTGGAAGCCCATGCGCCCCCTGTGGCCCCTCAGAGAACTGACCTGGCCCACTGCCTCCCACCAAACCCAAGCTGTGGGGGCCTGGGTACTTCAGGAGGAACCACGGCTGCTAATTATAACCGTGAACGGTGCAGTACTTCAGAGATGCTAAGATGTGAAAAAGGCATGGCCAAGAATCCATGTGCGGGGTTTCTTAAGCATCCACCCAAGCAGTGGTTCTGAAAGTGTGATCTGAAGGCCCTCGTGATCCCCAAGACCATTTGAGAGTCTGCAAAATGGGAACTATGTTTGCAATACATCAATATTTTACCTTTCCTTTCCCTCTCTCTCTCTCTTTCTCTGTTAGCATGCAGTGGGCTTCCCCCCACGCCAGTGGCTACATGTGATCATGTTGCTTTGAAAGTCAATGGAGATGGGCATGGTGGTGCACGCCTGTAATCCCAGCAATTGGGAGGCTGAGGCACGAGAATCGCTGTGAGTTTGAGGCCAGCCTGGGCTATAAAGTGAGTTGAAGGCCAACCTGAACTGCTTAGCAAGACCCTGTCTCAAAAAAGATAATAAATAAATGTCAATGGAATGCGTATAGTTTTACATTTTGCATTTTTTCTGAATTTTAATTTCATGTGTGGGAGGCCCTGGGAGTTGCGACAGGAACCTCCTGCTTCCTAGGTGAGTGCATGCGTTGAGCTGCACCCAGCCCACCTCCACCCTTTCACTCAGGGGCTGGCTCAACTGACCAGACTGGCCTTGAACTTGTGAACCTCTGGCTTCTGCTTCCAGAGTAACTGGGATTCCAGATGTGCACCACCACATCCAGCTCTGAGTTTCTGACAGTGTATGTTAACAGTCATGATCTAGAGGCAAAAGCTCTTTGCTTAGAAGGTTTAGAAATCACTGTGCCTGGCGCTTGCCTGGCAGGGACTATGGTCAAGGGAAGGAGAAGCACTACAGGGCCACACAGGCAAAGGGTCAGGGACTTGTGCCAGGCTGGCAGGGAGGCCTTGCCGAGGAAGTGGGCCCATACCTGCCAGCCTCACACCCAGAGCTCTGCCCTCCGCCAGCACCCGGCCCTAGGTTTGGTCACCCTCATTGCTGACACCCCACAGCGAGACGCAGGTCCCCGGGCTGTGATGAATGAAGACAAGTGGCAGGATTCGCAGGCGAGGCCTTACCATCAGACACGGAGGCTGGAGGATTTCTTGGGCATTTCTGTTTCTTGCCACAGAGCTTAACACAAGGCTTTGCACACTGGGGTGCTTGGGAAATGGGAGGGCGAGCTTCTGAGGCACTCAGCAAGTCTGGGAGCTCGACTTCCCCCAGACACCCAGATCCACATGGGAACATAAGCTGCCGGCTGACAAGAGTCCAAACCACTTTTCTCCCCGTCTCATCCAAACCCTCTTCCGCTGGCCTGTCCCCTTGGCCAATTCTCTAGGATGGTGGCATGCCTCAGGTAGACCTTTTTCCCTTTTGCCTGTCTGTTCTTAAGGCTGCTGTCCCCAAGATCTGAGTCAAGGTGATCAGACTTGGGACCTCGGCCCCAGAAGCCCAAGACAGCCCCCAAGATTTGATGGGTAGGAGGAACCAGGGGAAGTTCCTACCTTCCATGTGGGCTCAGGAGCAGAGCCAAAGTGTGGTATGGTTTGTGGGTGTGGTCTGCACCAGGGACAGTGACGAAAGGTCCAGACAAGTGTGGCACCAAGGGAGGCCTGGGTCTTCCTACTGCTCCTGGTGCTATGCACCTGGGAGGAGGGCCTCTGCCCAGAGCCCTGTGGCTCTGCATCCTGCTGGCCTCTTGCAGGAGCTGGGCAAGGCTGGCACTGGCAGCTAGGGCAGGACCTGCCTTCCGGCCACAGGCAACTCAGGCAACCCGGGGCTGGGGGACTTTCGCAGGAGGAAAAGATGGAGAAGCATGGGGGTAGTAGACAGCAAAGTTATTTAGAAAAGTTACAGGCATTCAGGGCTGGGCCTTCCAGAGTTCAGTGCAGAAGACAGCTGTGGCTGAAGGCACATTCACTGAAGGCTGGGCGTGAAGGAAGAGGAACCACCCCACCCATATACTTCCCCTGGGTCCCAGCAGCAGTGACTGATAATCTACACAGCATCAAGCCTCTTGGGTGGGGGCCAAGCCTCCTCACCCCCGCCTTCAAGGGCCCTTGTCCCTCCCCCTGTGCTTGCCACCCCACCTGCTTCCCCATGGGTCCCCACGTGATCAGTATTATCTAAGCAACTCTACTTGTAATCTTAGTGGTGGACCATAGTTTTGTCCTATCTCACACTGCGACTATATGTGTTGGTTTTTGTTTGTTTGTTTTAGTTTTTTTGAGGCAGGGTTTCACCGTGCAGTCTAGGCTGCCTTTGTATTCTGCAGTCCTCCTGCCTCAGCCTCCCACATGCTGAGATCACAGACATGAGCCACCGCATCCGGTGGATACTTTTAACCTTATTAGTTAACTATACTTTTATCCCACCTTGAATCCGACTCACTTCATGGCTTTGCTAAATAAAAGCATCCCTGAGAAGCAGGGTCAGCGGGCACCCCACTTTCCAAACCCCCTTTTGTCTCTTAGCTTCATTTCAATAAACTCCTCCTACTTTTAACAACTCCATTGTTTTTAGAATTTGTTCCTCAATTATAATTATAATTATTATTATTACTGTCTTTTTGAGACAGGGTCTCACTAGGCAATTCAGGCTGGCCTCAAACTCCCAGACATCCTTCCACCTCAGCCTCCTAAGTACTGAGATTACAGGTGTGCGCCACCACCGCCGGCTCGTTCCTCACTTTCCTCATTTTTAGAGAATATGAAATCGGCCTCTCCACCATCTAGGAGGTCGGGAGTTACAAGGTTTCCCTTATATTATCTGGAAGTCCTTATACTGCCCTATCCCAGGGGTAAGGAAGGAGGTGGGGTGAAGCTCAGGACCAAGGCGAGCACCTCGCACAGCTCCTCCATGCAGTCTCCTCGCCAAGGACCGGTCGGAGGAGAAGGCCTCGGGAGCAGGTCCCAGCCTAGCCTCACGGTGGGGACCTGGTCGTGACACCAGTCAGCGGCGTTGCAGTCTGGAGTTGGGCAGAAGCGGACGGGAAGGGAGTGGGCTGCCAGGGGACCCGGCGCTCGCGTGGCACCCGAATGAAGGAATGAATGAATGAATGAATGAATGAATGAAGAGAGCGAGCGCGCGCAGCGTGGGGAGCGCCCGGCTTCCTGCGGTCCCCGCAGACGCGCGCGGCGGGCAGGGGGCGCAAGCGCCGTGGGCGCCAGGGCCCCGGGGGCGGGGCGGGGCGGGCTGAGGGCGGGGCTAGAGGCCGGGAGGCGCCCGGGATCCACACTTCCGGCGCCTGCAGTTCGCAGATCGGCGGCGGCTCGGAGCGGCTGCACCGGCGCAGGCGGCAGGGCAGTCGCGCGGCGGCGCAACCATGGTGAAAATCAGCTTTCAGCCCGCCGTGGCCGGCGTCAAGGCCGACAAAGCGTCGGCGTCCGCCCCGGCCCCGGCCCCGGCGCCCGCCCCGGCCGCGGAGATCCTGCTGACGCCAGCCAGGGTGAGAGGCCGGGGGCTGCAGTGGGGGCGAGGGACCCGGGCGCTGGCCGGGGCGCACGGGGGTGTGGGGAGTCCGGAGCCGCGAGCGGAGCGGGAAAGGGAGGTCTCTGGTGGGTAACCCGTCCCCAAGGGGGGACCAGACTTGGGTTCTGTCCCAAAGCATCTGCCCAAAGCAGAAGGTCCTGGGTCCCTGTTCCTTCCGTGGGAAAGCGCGCACGGTCTCTTCGAAAAGCGGAGGGGCCCCGGGACGCCTGGCTTACAACCCCGGGACAGGGTCCGGTGCGCGCGCGTGCGAGGAATGCTGGCCAGGTTCGCGTCTGGTTCCAATCAATGGGGAGGGACCGCGAGTCCAGTCCCCGGGTGGGGGATGGGAGGCGGCTTGGACGTAGTTTCCCCAAACTAAAGCGGTGGGACCCGATTGGTTGGAGAATCGGTGGGGGGAAGAAGACCAGTGCCAAGGGAGGGAGAAGAGAGGTCACTGAGATTCAGCCCCAAAGTGAAGGAGGATGCGCTGCGCTTCCTCGCAGGAATTGGCAGCCCAGCGAGTGATGAAATGGAAATAAACCAGGACTGGACCTGCGGCGCCTCCGGGGGGGATCCGAGGTCCGAGGCCAGGCGCTTTCGTCCCCCCGCACCCCCTTTGCGGCCTCCTTTCCCGGCTCGCCTGCTGGGCGCCCCTGCTCCCCAGGAGGGCTCCACCGCCGCCTGCTTTGTGGGGGCGGGCCTCAGGGCGCCCCCCTCCCCCCCTCCCTACACTCAGACCCGGGGAAGAGGAGACGTTTCCATCCTGGGCTGTGCTGCACGGAATGTGTCCACTGAGGGGCCCGGAGAGACCGGACTGGGGCAGCGGTCATGGGCACCCACCCCCCAACACCCCTAAAAGCAGGCCTCAGGTCAAGTTCAGTGGCTCTGGTTTCATCCTGCCTGGAGGAATAGAGGGGCCTGCTAAGGATCTTTGGGCCCTAGAAGAGGAGGAGCTGGAGAGGGGTCTCAGAGGAGGAGACCCAGGGTGAGGAGCCCCACTGCTCCGGGTGGCACTCTTGCTCACCTGTGATGAGTGACTGCCACCTTCAGCGTCTACAGTGCAAGATTCCAATGGCCAGCTGCATCCATCCCAAGCTCGGATTGGGAGGTGCACCCCACATAGACGACGGTGGTTTGCAGCTTTGAAAGTTTACCGTGGGGCTCTTCAGACCTCCATCTCTTTCCCAAGGGAGCCAGCCTCCTCCTTTCCTCTCCTGCCTTGGAGGAGTGGGCCCCAGCCCCGATGGCGTGTGTCTTCCCAGCTGCCTCTCAAAGAAGCAGGCACCCAGCTGAGAGCCACAGGGCTTGGGGATGACGGAGGTGCAATTCCAACTCCATCAGCAGGTCCAGGACTCCGCGGGGACACGCTTTCGGGTGGCAACAGTGGGGTTAGCAAGGTGGCTGAGCCCGATGGGGGAGATTTCAGGTCTTCTCATGAACCCCTGAGGGCTTAATGAAGTGTATGAAGTAAACTAGAAATACACAGATTAGCAGGATAGGGGGTGTTGCCGATATACTAGCCGGCATAAACACAAAAGCATACATAAAGTGAGACTTAGAGAGAGGGGAGCTGGTTGAAATCCAGCTTAAAGGTTTGGATGAAGGTTCCCAGGTAAGAGCCCCCCAGAGGTGGTACACCATCACCTCCTCTGGCCAGGTGTCCACCCCGTGTCATCTTCCAGTAAGATGTTTTCTAGGGGAACAGCTGGGGTGCAGGGCTAGAGAAAGCCTGTTTTCATCCATGTGCCTGCCAAACACTGAGGGCCAAGATTCTCTGCACATGGATTTTCAGAGCCAGTCCTCTCTGAGGGCCCTCGGAATGGCCGCTTGGATATTGCTCAGGCAGCCTCTTATGAGGTGTCTGTTTTGATCTCCCTTGCCCGCCTAGCCTGCAGTAACTGGCATCCAGTCTCCGGCTTTTATGGAAATATCTATATGGAAATACCGTCTTAGTAGGAGCCAGCTGAGTGCCCTGTGTCCCCACCATACTGAACAATGGGGGCTTGAGCCCTGATCTGAGAAGGAAGAGTTAAAGTCCTAGTACCTCGAAGACAGAAATATTGAGGCCCGAAGCTGCTGGGAAGGAACCAGTCACACGTTGGCCTTCCCATCACCACTGGACCCAGACACTTGGATAACTGTTTGCTCCTCTGGGGCTCTTCTGGGCATTCCCTGGCCAGTAGGCGAATCACTCCCCTGTGCCTGGCCTCCGCCGCTGTGCCTGGCTTCCCCCGATGAGCAGGCCATCCCTTTTTGCAGCTCAGAATGGAGCCAGCTGAGGGATGGGCTGGGGGACAGCAAGGGGTCCTGGGATTTTGTCCTGTACTCATGGCAAGGCACGGGACAGCTTCTTAGGTCTCTCCTGGCCGGTGGTGACCCCAGAACACTTCTTGATGTCTGAATTGGACTCAAAGCCAGGGTGTCTCAGAAATGATACTAGAAGGACCGTGCACAGAGCCGAGGAAGGAGCCAGAGCTGGAGGGCAGTAGCGCCCAGCTTCAGAGCACACCCTGGAACAAGAGGGATTTTGTCACCAGACCTGAGGCTAAGCAGACGAGCCTGAGGGGCGGGTTGGGGGCGCAGCTGGGCTTCCAGCTGCCTGTTCTCCCTGAGATGCTCGGCTCTGAGCTCAGGTAGAGTCTGCTCCCTTGCTCCGTTCCTGGGAGGCCCAAGGGCAGCCCTGCCCCTCACTGGACTCCATCTTTCCCAGAGTTCTGCCCGCATGTGTGTATACACGTGTGTGCACAGGCGGGCGTGGGTGTGTACAGGCTCACAGGCTGGGAGCTGCACACAGAGAGGAACAGGCTAACCGCAGTCTTTGCAGCTCTGTGCTTTTCTCCCTGACTTTTGCCTTTGATTAGTGGGCCCTGCGGGCCCCCTCCCCCAGCCTGCATACCTGCGGATCCAATTTCACTTTCCCAGCCTGGCTTGGCCTGGGGCCCTTGGCCTAAGGCGCAGTTGGGGGAGGGTCCAGGCAGAGGGAGGGCAGGACTGACCACCTCAGCCTTGGGCTGCAGGCCTCTGGTGTCTGAATCTCCCCAGGGCAGGGCAGGGAATCTCCAGGCCTGGCCTGGCCTGGCCAGGGGGTTTTGCCTTTTTGATTCTCTTTTCTGTTCTCTCACCCTTCCCTGCCTGGATCAAGGTGGCCGGCTCCAGCTGAGAGGATGGTTTTTTCCTAGTACTCCTGGTAAAATCACAGCGGAACCAGCACCTCCGCCCCCAGGCTCCATCCTCTCTGCCTGTCTGTCATTCCCGAAAATGACAGCTCTGGAGGTAGCCTACTGGTCAGGAACAGAAGAGAACCCGAGGACAGAGAGCAGATGGCACTGCGCTACAGAAATCCTGCCCACAAGGCCACAGGGCAGCAGTAGGGGACAGGAGGGGAACACACTCATAGTCAATCCCCAGCCCCATCAGCCCATGGCACAAAACCAAGTGACTTTGGTGCTTCTGAGCCTCTGGGCTGTGTGCACAGGGGCACCGGGCCTTTGATCACCTGCCTCCCCGCTGGGCTGGGCCTCCAACTCAGACACACAGATGGGCACCCTCCCTTCCCAGCCTCATGGCTGCTCCTTTCCAACCCCCTGGGCAGACTGCAGTGGTGGTTCAGTCAGCAGATGGCTAATGTGGACACTTCCCTGCAGGGGTGGCAGCTCAAGAGCCTTCCCTCGAGCCTCCCTGTTTCTCCACTTGGTGGCTTCCCCTCCAGTTTGTGCAAAATCCTTTCATAAGCCCCACTGTGGACCCCAGTGGAGCGCCTTCAGGTCCCCAAACGGCCTGGCTCACGTACCCTACACGAGTGTGCAGTAAGGCTTTTTGCTCAGAGAGCCAGTTGCCTTGGAAACAGTATGTAGATTTTTCTTTTCTCACCGGAAGCCTCCAAATGCCTGAGTGTTGCTAGCTTCTCCCTCGTGGGGAGCAGCATTTCCTGGCGCCTCCTGACAGCTCCCTGCTGCCTCACAGTCTGCAGAGCACTCCCTACAGGGCACAGCTGTGGCAGGTCACTGCCGGCAGCCAGGGGCTGGGCAGGATGAGTGTCCTGGGCTTTGGCATCTGTGCTTGACCTTTTGTCATGTCGGGTCCAGGAGGCAAAGGCAGCACTGGGCCTTTTGTCAAGGTTTCCTGTCTCACCCTCCCTTCACTACCAGTCCTGTCACCCCACCTGGGCTTCGCAGGACCCTGCAGCCAGGGCGGCACAGGATGGGGAGGTGGCAGGGCGACCTGGCCCCAGTGGGTGCTGGCCGATGTCGGCAGCAGAAAGCATTTGTCAGCCTAGAGAAATTTCGTGTGTTCTTCATCCGAAAGTTCTGACCATCTCAGGCTCTGAGATGAGCTGACAGGAAACAGATTAGCATGAAACACAAAGTTTAGTACTCAAAGAAAGGACCAGGCAGCTGAAGCTTAAGCAGCACGGTGAGCTTCCAAAATAGGGGCCACCTGGAAGTGAAGGCTGGGAGGCAGGCAGGGAACAACCGCAGGTCTCCCTCAGTGGCATCCCCAGGGGGCCTCTGGCCCCACGGTGTCCCTGCACAGGATCCGAGGTGGGGGGGTCTGTCTGCACCCCCACATACCTTCTTCATGTGTAGCTGGCTCTTTCCAGAAGGGAAGCTTTTCTGGCTGTCCCTGCATCTGCGGAAGACTGCAGTTTCTCCAAATAACCCGCTGGAAACCTGCCTGAGAAATGGATTGGGAAAGGGATGTTTTGATGGCCCTCATCGGCCCTGGCTAGAAGATGCAGAGGGGTGAGGTGGGGGATCCCTGGCCTTCACTGTGAGGGGTGCTGCATGGAGCCTCTGCCCTTTCAGCCACATCTGGCCAGGGCCACCGAAGTGCCACCACATGTTCACTCCCTGGTCCTCACTGACCTCTCCCCACCTCCCTTCTGGGCTTCAGCTCCCCATGGAGTCTGCTGACCCAGCAGCAGCTTGGGTCCGAGATGAGGAGGCTGCTCCTTGTCCATCTGGGCATATTTTCCCAAGCTGGCTTCTCTGGATTTCTAGAATGCAGCAGCCGTACACAGCACTCAGGGCAGCCCCAACAGCTGCCTGTGGGGCCTCCCTAAAAAGGAGAGGCTGGCGCTCAAGCTGCTATTTTTATCTGCTCGGGATCCTCTGCAGAGGGCTTTCGGGGTCTTTGTCTCTTCTAATCCTAACCGCACCCCTGCCAGGGTGGCAGGTGGGAGACCCTGGGCGCTCCAGAATCTTCCCAGCTTTGGGCCCTGAAACTTATTCTGGCCTTGGCGGACACGGTGGCAGGTCTGGCTCAGCCACGTTACAGTCTGCTTGAGACCATGAGAAGTGGAAGGGCCACAGCTTGTGACGCTGGGTTTGCAGGCACCTGTGCCTTGCTCCCACGAGCCATGGCAGAGCCTGGCTGTGCAGCCCCGGGTCACCCACCATGGGGCCAGGAACTCGGTCTAACCTGGTCGTTTTCCTAATTGGGGAAACTGAGGCCCAACAAGTGCCAAGTGGCAGAGCCAGCATGAGATGCTCCAGTCTCCTGGGCCGATGCCTGTGCCCTTCCCCAAAGCTGCCTTGTCTCTCAAGATTTGGGGCATGTAGGGGTTGAATCTGAGTGCCGAGGAGGGGTAGTTTGGTGGGTATTGCGGGCAGACGAGGCAAGAGCCAAGCAAGCTAGGTGGGTGGGGTGCAGAGGACAGGCAGAGAGCTCACCAAGGTCACCCAGCCAGCTGCCTCCGGGCAAAGCAGCTCTACTGAGTTTATGCTCTCCTTTCCTCCACTGCCTGGACATATGAGGCTGGGATCCAGATGTGGCTGGCATCGTGGCCAGGTCTGGCTGGCCGAGCTCCTGGCCTGGCCTCCTTTGTAGTTGCCTGACAGTCTGCTCACCACTGCTGGGCTCCCCAGAGAAGAGGCTGGGACAGGGAGCAGCACTGGACCCCAGTGTTTCAGTGATCTTTCTGGTGTTAGGGTGGGTCTTGCCACCCCAGCACCCAGCTCCAAAGCCTTCACTGGCTCCCCATTGCCCAGAGCAGTGACCCTCGGCCTGCTGGGTGCACCCTGACTCCTGTGCACTCCTCGGTCCAGTCTGGTCCCTGAGGCCATATGGAAGGAAGCATAGGGGTCTAGCTGACGGAAAGGGCCGAGGACACAGGTCTAGTGATCACTTCGCGCCTGTGCTTTCCAGCTTCATGGGGCTCTGTCTCTTTCCCTTCTCCCAGCCTCCCTGGGGCCCACCGGAGAGTGGTCCCTCTTAGGGAAGGAAGGATTTCAGGGGTTGGGCCTGCAGTCTGGGGTGCCTGGCTGACCCAGCCCTGCTGTCCACAGGAGGAGCGGCCCCCCTACAATCGCTCCAAGAAGGGGGGCTCAGTGGGCAGCGTGTGCTACCTCTCAATGGGCATGGTCGTGCTGCTCATGGGCCTCGTCTTCGCCTCCGTCTACATCTACAGATACTTCTTCCTGGCTCAGGTAGGGAGCTGACCCAAGGGCGGGTTGGGGTCCCTCCCACCGACCCTGGGGCACCCTCACCCAAGACTCGGGCCTGCAGGGTGCCCTGGCTCTACCCTGGGCGTGGACACTTGGGCTGCAGACCCAACAGGCAGACGGGCTTCTGAGCAGGGAAGCAGGCTGCAGGGGTGCAGTGTCACCACATCCGGGAACTGAAGGGTGACATTAAATTAAAAGCTCACGATCAGTAAGTATAAGAGCATCTAAAAGGGAATCTCGGGGTGCCTGAAGGTGAGACTTACTAGTCATTACTGACCTCTAAGCATTTGTGTGCCCCCAGCTTTTCCACAGTGGAAATTTCTGAAGCATTCTGTCGCTCGGGGCTTTCCCTAGAGCCCTTGGCTGGGTGCTTCCCCTGACTCCAGGGCTTCCCCTCGCATGCACCTCGCTTCCCCCGAGGCCTGCTTCCCACTTGTCCTAGGTTCCCCTTGTCCATCTCCTCCCTGTGTCATCTCTTCCCACTCATGGCCTCTTGGGGTGCCTCACTCCCAGGCAGTGTGGCCCTCAGAGCAGCCCCCCAGCATCTGAATCATGAGTCAGCCTCCTTTCAGGAAAGCTGCACAAGACCAGGAAGGGGACGGTGCCCACTGCAGGTGGCCTCGAATTCCATGTCTCCCGCCGTGCACCCCCACTCTATGCCCTGCTGGTATGACCCTAGGATATCCAGCTGGACTGGACTGTCCAGCTCTTAGGTTTGTCCCAGAATCCCCTCCATGAAGGGCATAGGAGTAATCGGGCTTCTTCAGGCTGCTCCATTTCACAGAAGGGGGCTTTGAGACCACAAAGGACTTTAGGCATCAACGTGCTTCAAGTGGGGAAACTGAGGCTCAGGTAGTCTCCTACCTAGGAACTGGCAGTCCCTATGCGGCCCTTGAGCTGCTTTCTCCAGTCTCAAGTCACCCACCTCACCGCCCATCTCTGTCCTCTCTCTCACCCTGTCCAGCTGGCCCGAGATAACTTCTTCCACTGCGGCGTGCTCTACGAGGACTCCCTATCACAGGTCCGGACTCGAATGGAGCTGGAGGAGGACGTGAAGATCTACCTCGAGGAGAACTACGAGCGCATCAATGTCCCCGTGCCCCAGTTCGGTGGCGGGGACCCTGCAGACATCATCCATGACTTCCAGCGGGTGAGGCCACCTTGGGCAGCCAGCGGCCAGCCAGGAGCCGAGCAGGGCTGATGGGAGGGCGTCCTGGGGTATTGATTTTTAACTGGGCTCCTGGAGCCCAGTTGCTATTCTTGCACATGGGTGATACCATCCTCACCGAGTATGGACCTAAGTGGGGGGTTTCCTAATGGAGGCAACACTGGGCCTCTTGTCTGCTAGTGTGTGGTCAAGGGGCGCCCACTACCGGTGCCCTGAGCATGGAGCTGTGTGTGTCACTGGGCAGGCTGAGGTCTGGTGCATTGCCAGCAGCCTCAAAGGTTCCTTTCCACCCTTCGCAGTTAGGCCTTTCCCCCTCAGGGTGCCTGTCCTCTGCATAGTCAGTGAGGCACAGGCTCCAGCCCCCTTCCCCAAAAGCCCAGTAGGGACTGCAGCACTGACCGTGCTTCCCTTGTTCTGGGCGGCCCACAGCAGAAGCCCATGGGTCAGACCCGCTGCAAATCCATGCTAAGATCTTGTATAATGGCCAAGGCATTGGACAGGCCAGTGCGGTTCCCCACTAGGAAGCAGTCCCTTCTGCAGGCTTAGGCCAGGCAGTACAGTTGTCCAGCAATCGGAGGCCAGCTGGTAGCCCAGGGGCTTAGGGATGGTGTAGTGGAGCTGGGGGCTCTGCTGGCTGAAAAGCCCCTCGAAGCTCATCCTGGGCATTGCTCTTGCCTCCTGTGGAAACTGAGTGGCCTCTCTGGTGCAGGGTCTCACCGCCTACCATGACATCTCCCTGGACAAGTGCTACGTCATCGAGCTCAACACCACCATCGTGCTGCCCCCCCGCAACTTCTGGGAACTGCTCATGAATATGAAGGTGAGTTGGGCTCCCCTTCCACATCCTTTCCCCATGGAGATCAGCCCTGGGCCAGGGGCTAGGGCTGCCCTGGGACACCGGAATGGTGGGTGAGTGGAAGTGGCGGCCGGGCCCTGGGTGCTGACCTGTGCTGCGACCACTCTCTGTGCAGAGAGGGACCTACCTCCCGCAGACATACATCATGCAGGAGGAGATGGTGGTGACCGAGCATGTCAGCGACAAGGAGGCCCTGGGCGCCTTCATCTACCACTTGTGCAACGGGAAGGACACCTACCGGCTGCGGCGCCGGGCCACACGGAGGCGTGAGTGCTGGGCCTGCCCCAGGGCCCGCATCCCTGCCGTTTCTAGCGGTGCCTGGCTGGGTTCTCCGAGAGCAGGGCAGCAGTGTTCACAACTCACCTTACTCAAGCACTTGCAGTGTCGCCAACATCTTCAGCACTGTTCTAGCTGTGCTTTGAAAGATGAAGAAATGAGACACAGAGAGGTGATATCACAGCCCTGAGTCACACAGTAGGGAAGAGGCAGACACAGGCAGAGTCTGACTCTGGTTGCTGGGCTCTCATCCCAGGCTCCCTGCTCCCCTAGCCAGGTCGTGAGGTCGCCGACAGGGTCAGGGTGGCCTCCTTTCCATCGGGGACCCCATGCTTACTAGGATTTTTTCTGTTTCCTCCCAGGAATCAACAAGCGTGGGACCCAGCAGTGCAACGCCATCCGCCACTTTGAGAATACCTTCGTGGTGGAGACACTCATCTGCCAGGAGGCGTGAGCCCCGCCGCCCCCCTCCTTGCTGTCCTCCGGCCTCTCTGGCCCCCACCCTCGCTTAGCGTGTACTGTGGACGCCTTCCCGTAGCTGTGACCTGTCCCCCTCCTTCCCGGTGCCTCCTGCTTCCCTGTACCAGGCATCTGCTGACTCCCAGACTGTGAAAGAGGGGAGGGGACGCCCCAAGGTGGTTTCTGTGTCCCAGTGTCTTTAGGTTGGACCCCATCGTCCAGGCCAAGGTGCAGGATTAGGAGGCAGGGTGGGTGGAGAGGTGGGAGATCCACAGGCATTTGCCCTGGGTGGAAGGTGGAGGATGTGCCTAGGGTTGGACCCGCCAGAGCAGGAGGGACAGTGGCAGTCCTGGGGTCCCCGGGCCCCTGTCAGTGCCTTCAGCCCCCTGGCAAGAGCCAGGGTCGGGTGGGATGAATCAGTTATTGAGCACAATGTTCTCAGAGTGGAACCAAAGAATTGAGGAGCCCGGGCCGTCCCGGACCCCTGCGAGCACAACCAGGGCTGCAGCAGGGCCATTGGTCCCTGCGCTCTGGGGAGCGGGTGGGCATTGTGTTGCTTTCTGCAGCCCGGGGCTCTGTGACCGATGAGGGGAGGGAGGCCACCTGGTACCTGCCCCTGCCCTTCCCACAGGGACCTTGACGGTTTCCTTCTCACTCTTGCATGTTTTTATGGATGTTCCAGACGCTAACTGTCCTCAGCCCCAAGCCTGGTGGGGCTTCGGTGCCCCGGGTCCGGCTTGGGTGCTACCCGGAGAGGCAGCTCTTAAACGCTTTGTATATTTTCTCTATTAGATCTCTTTTCAGAAGTGTCTGTAGATAATAAAAATCTTTTACTTCTGACAGTGGCGTTGATGTGGCACTGGCAGGGTGGACGATGGTGGGGACTGCAGACCTTGGCACCTGGCCCAAAAGGAGGCTGTGGATGTCCTCTGTGTGGTCTCCTGGGGACCTGGGTCTGAGCCAGGTGGGGAGGGAGGAAAACTCCCGTAGGACTTGGACAGCCTGGCCAAGGTCAAGCTGCTTTTGCTGCCCAGTGTGACAGGTGATGTCACAGTGCTTGCCCTGCAGCACAAGGACAGTGTGGAGTTCTGCACAGTGCCCAGGCCCTGGGTTAATGGTTCTGGATGGAATGGAACTGAGACTGAGTGCAATGACCCAAGGCTCCAGCAGCAGGGAGGCTGAGGCAGGAGTATTGCCACGAGTTTGAGGGCAGCCTGGGCTACATGGGGTTAAATGGGTGAGTTAAATGGGGTGCAGTCAGTTCAGATGGCAGCAAGATTTGGTTTTTAGGGGCTGGATAAACACCTGCCTTGCAAAGCAGGCAGTCGTGAGTTCAATCCCGGCATGGATTTAAAAAAAAAAAAAAAGATTTGGTTTTTAACTTGGCACAATCAGTTCTTTGGGCACAGTAAATACAGAGTATTTGCCAGGTAAGGCAAAGAGAGGCCCTCAGGCTTTCCCATGGTAAATCACAGCCAGGAGGCTGGGGTGAGAGATCCCTGGAACAGGCAGAGGGTCCCAGCATCTGTGCCCAGCACCAGCGTTGCAAAGACCAAAAACAACTTAAGGAAGGAGTTTGTGGGGCCAGGGACTTAGTTCAATGGCACAGTACCTGCCTGGCAAACACGAGGTCGTGAGTTTGACCCCTGGTACCAAGAGAAAGAAAGAAACTAGGAAGGGGTTTACAGTAGCAAAGGAAGGCCTCAATAGGACTCATGGAGCCCAGAAATTGGTATCAGTTACAGGGCTACAACACGGTTAGAGTGGCTTTTCAGTGTAGGGGACATGTGTGGGTTATTTCTCGTGGAACAACTGATCATCTTTTTGGAAAACCTGCATTCTGTTTCCTGTACAAAGTGAATGCCACGTGGGTAAAGATCACTTGAAACCCTGGAGTTCGTGGCCAGCCTGGGAAACAGCAAGACCTAGTCTCAAAAAAAAAGTGTTTGAAAGAAAAGATGACTTAATCTTGGAGGAGAAATGGCCTTTCTATCTCTGTGTTTTTTAAGACGTTTTCACTGCAGTTCAGTCTGGCTTTAACTCAGTTTATATCCCTGGCTGGCCTTGAACTCAGAGATCCCCCTGCCTCAGCCTCCCGAGTACTGGGATTACAGGTGTGTGCCACTACACCTGGCAACCTTTCTAAATGTGATACTCCTCAAGTTAGAATTTATAGATGAAGAGTTAAAATTATAATACAGCAAAATGTACCATGAGGCTAAAAATTTATAAGTTGGAAATTGGAGAAATTATTTATTTTTTTGATGCTGGGGATCAAACTCATGAGCTTGTGCTTGTCAGGCAGGTGCTTATGCCACTGAGCTAAATCCCTGGCCCCTGAGGCAATTTTCAAACATGACATTAGAAAAATGATGTTCCCCTCAATGCATGTCTATAAAGCATGAAATATGAACGATCCGATAGATAAGTTAGCAGAGAATATCAACAGACCACAGAATGAGAAATAGAAGTAATAATTACACATGAAGTGACATTTAAATCACTGGTACAAAGGAAACACCCATCAAAGCTAGGAGAGGACCTCTCTCCACCGCAAGGCTGCGGGGTGTCTGTTCCCCACAGGGAGCCCCTGGCAGCTGACACTGACCAGCGCCCCGCAGTCCTGCAGAGCTTGGGGCCTCCCCATCCTGTGGTCCGCAGATCGCTGCTGAAGGGTGAGTCCCTGGCTTTGCGTTCAGCCAGCAGCTGGCAGGGGCTGGGGACCCAGGACTCAGCCTCCAGGGGCTTCAGTCCAGGCGGTTCATGGTCACCCACAGTCAGCACCGGCGCCCTGAAACTGAGTCCTGGATGTGGGGAAGTGGAAGCCACCAAGTCTGGGAGGCCTGGGAGCAGAAGGCCCAGAAGGTCTCTTGGTCACATTCTGCTGATCGGAGCGAGTCACAAACCAGCTGAGATTCGAGAAGGGGCCGCGCTCAGGCGAGCCAGGGGCTGTGTGTTCAGAGACTCCCGTGTCACCTCGGCTTCTGCCTCTACCTCCCCACTTCTATGGCCTGGAGAGGCCAGTCACCACATGAACTGGTAATCCAAAGACAACCTGGAGTATGTTCCCCCAGCACTCTGGAAGCTGAGGCAGGAGGATGACAGAGAGTTCGAGGCCAGTCTGGGCTACATAGCAAGACGCTGTCTCAAAAAGCAGAACAAAGACAACCCTGAAGATAGGTGTCTGCTTGTCACATATTGATCGTTCTTAGATCCATTAGCCAATTCATGTGTTTTAACCTTTTTTTGAGATTATTCATAAGTGTACACCATGTATAAAATCCCCTAGTGTAGTTTTGCTCAAAGTAGTATACAAATGGTGAGAAAATACTGTACACATTTTATTCTCTGACTTGCTTTTCTCCATTAATTTTATGTGTCTAAAATCCATTTTGTTGATGCATAGCAGCCTATTATATGAATGGATTTGCCATTAAACAACAACTGTTTGGGTTTTGTTTTGTTTTTTCTTTTTGGTCTTTGGGATCGAACTCGCAACCTTGCACTTGCCAGGCAGGTGCTTGTTACTTGGGTTCTTTCTGACTTTGTTGTTGTTGTTAGTTTCTTTTTTTTTAGTAAATTTTATTTTAAAGGGGGTAAAATTAAACACAACAAAACAGAACAAAATAGGACATAAGAAAGCAATGTAAGAGACATAAATTTCAAAGCTAGATGACCTGAGATCTTCACTATCTATCATATTGTCTCTTGTTTTCTTCCAAATAGTTGTCCATGTCTTTGCATACAGAGAATTCATACAAAACAACATAGTATAAAACTGATCCAAACAGAATGAGGAAGGCGATTTAGGTCTTCAAAACCAGACAATAGGGAAATCACTAACGGCTGTCGTAGAGTCTTGTTCTTTTCAAAATAGCTGGCCATACTTTCATGTATATTGAAGTTCAACACAACAAAACAGGCAGCAGGGAGAGGTTGCTCCAGATCCCAGCATGGTGCAGGTCCCAGTAAACTGGTGGCTCTCGGCTCTCTCATCCTAGGCTGTTGCAGCCTGCCACACTCACAGCCACTCACAGCGGGGGGGGGGCTTGCTTCAAGCTGTTTCTTCTTTTTTTTTTTTTTTTTAAATTTTATTTAAGGAGAAAAAGGAAAAAAAAAACAAAAAGGGTGCAAGTTATACAGAATTTCAGAAAAAAAAACAGTAGGAAATCACTAGTTAATAGATTACATATTGCGATCTTAGAAATAATTGTTCAAGTTACAAAGTTAAAGCATATAAAGTGAACATTCAAACAGTGAGACAGCAAACAGTTCTGTTCAATGATCCAACAAAACTCAGTAATATGGTTATCTATCTTATACACTTAAATATACATGCAGTTATATCCTTTAGAGCACTTTCTTTTCCTCTCTTTTGTACAATGACAATTACACATTTTGGGTTTTATTACTCCCACAGTTTTTATTACTTTTTTTGAAGAGAGTAAAACCAAATGTGACATAACAAAACAGAGTCAGTCAAATCAAAAGGGTGGACATAATACATAATGTAAAACAAAATACAAGGTGATTAACAATGGTTACCATAATGCCTCTTGCTATCTTAAAAAGAATTGCCTATATCATCAGTTTTAATCAAATTGAACAAAACAGTAAGAACAAAACCAGTAAAACCAAAACATTGGAGACATTACAGGACTTCGAAAGAAGATAATAGTCAAACCAGAATGGGCATCATAATGAATCTTATTGTCTTCACAGTTGTCGCCTATACTTTCGAATTTGGTACTATCAAGCAAAACAGAATAGAGGAAGATCAGTCAAAACAAGATGGTGAGAGCAATACAGGGTTTCAAATCAAGTTAATAGGAAATCAAAGTGGGTTACTATAATATATCCTGCTATTTTTTATTTATTTTTCCCTTAATTAAAAAGAAAAAAAGTAAATAATAAAAAAAGAAGATTGAGATAAAAGAGGGCATAACAACAAAACAACGCAGATCAAAACATAACCATTTAAGCAAAATAGTGTTTCACGACAAGATATCCCAACATAAAAGTAGTTACCATAGTGTCTCTTTCCTTGAAATCTTTCAGTATAACTTCGTATACTGTAGCATCAAACATATCAAGACAATAGGGCTGAGGATTTAGCTCAGCGGCATAAGTGCCTGCCTTGCAAGCAGGCAGTCTGTGAGTTCAATCCCCAGTACTGATAAAAAGGAAAAAGACCGAAAAAAAAAAGAAAAATCAAGACAATGTAAAACCATTCAAGAGAATGACAGTATTACAGGGTATTTAGAATCAACTAAGAGAAAATGAACAATGGTTTCTGTATAATCTCCTTGTCTATAAAAGTTTTTGTTTATATTATCACATATAATAAAATCCAATAGGATACAACATGTTAAGACTGATGGAGACAGAAAAACAAAAGCTTGATGGGACTTCAAAACAAGATGATATTAAATCAGCACTAGCTATTATGATGTCTTGTTTTCTCCAAAATAGCTATTCCTACCATCCAACCTTCTCTGCCTCATTTCTGTTGAGCTCTTTTTCTGTCATTTGTTGTCAGTTTGTCTTCTTCATTTTGATTTCTGCTCCATTCATTGTGGCCTCTCTGTCACTGTTTCTGGAATCTTGGTATTTTTCTGTTTTAGAATATCCTGCAGTATTCTCTGTAGAGTTGAATTGGTGGTTGCAAATTCCCCTAGTTCCTCTTTATCCTGGAAGCACCTCGTTTTTCCATCAATTTCTAGGGACAGTTGTGCAGGATATATCAATCCTGGCTGGAGGTTATTATCTTTCAGAGCTTGAATTATTTCCCCCCACACTCTTCTTGATTTGATGGTTTGTGCCGAGAAGTCTGCTGTAAT